TTCCACATGGCCAACTACAGTTTGAGTCCTGAATATGGAGGCTTGCTTTCTCACTTTCCTTCTCTCTCTCTCTGGTCAAATTAAAATAATAATAATAAATTAAGAAATTTCATTAAAAAAAAAAAAAAGCATATCCAAAATTAAGTAAATTAGACTTTTCTGGGAGAAAAATATTTATTCTACATTGTTCAAAAAGGCCTACTGTTCAAAAAGAGTACCCAAACTGTTTATTCTGGTGATTCTCTAGCCTCAAGTCTACATAAGGTGAAATGTGGAAAAGGGACGGACCAGCTGGTGGTGTGGTGGTTAAGGTGCTGGACTTCCACACGGCTCACGATGGTCCAAGTCCTAGACTGGGAGCTTGAAAATCATGCTGGGAGTGTGTACATGCGTGTCCAAAGGTATTACAATGTGGCCATCTCTCCTGGGGACGGGAGGATGATTTCTCACTTTTCCTCTCTCTCTCTCTCTCTCTCTCTCTCTCTCTCTGGGGAGTGCATATGCCCTATGGTAAACACAAAAAAAAAAAAAAAGGGGGGGGGAGTGTTAAAATCAACTCCTTTAAGGGAAAGACAGTTCTGGGACCAGCAGTTGGTGTAATCGCTATGTTGCTGGACTCCCATGTAGCTGACTGCGGTTCGAGTCCTGGATCCGGTGGCTTAAACTCACACCAGGTGCATGTGCGTGCCTGATCAAGATCCCAAGAGGAGAATGGAGGAGAAGGGATTGTGGTGTGGCCATCTCTGTTAAAATCAACTCCTTTAAGGGAAAGACAGTTCTGGGACCAGCAGTTGGTGTAATCGCTATGTTGCTGGACTCCCATGTAGCTGACTGCGGTTCGAGTCCTGGATCCGGTGGCTTAAACTCACACCAGGTGCATGTGCGTGCCTGATCAAGATCCCAAGAGGAGAATGGAGGAGAAGGGATTGTGGTGTGGCCATCTCCGCTGGGGGGTGATTTCTCACTTTCTGTCTCTGTCTCGCTCTGTCTTTCTGGAAAGCACACGCGCCTTACCCCCCCCCCCCCAAAAAAAAGACAGTTCTTGGGACCAGCAGATAGTGTAATGAATGGTTAAGTTTCTGGACTCCCATGTAGTTGACAGCGGTCAGACCCAGGGGCTTAAACATCCCACAGAGCCTATGTACATGCGTACCCAACATTTTGAAAGGAGAATGGAGAAGGGATTGCAGCATGGCCATCCCCGGGGAGGTGGGGGTGATTTCTCGCTTTCTGTCTCTCTCTACGGTGAACACACACACCATAAAGCAAAAATCTCTCTTAAAAAAAAAAAAAAAGGAGAATGAAAGATAGCTGTCTGTGTTGGTCATGATGATTATTTTTATTCTTTAATAGCAAGAATATCTAGATATTTCCAGTCACTACAACACTGCAACTGGCACCAGAGTAAAGCCTCCAACATTTCTTAAAAGAATTAGTGACCAATTTTTAAGAAAAAATAGTAATTTGCTTGAGGCCAGTCAGTTGCCTAATGGTTAAGGGAACAATATTCCACATGGCTGATCCTGGTCTGAATTCTGGCCTCCACGGCTTGAAAAAAACTCCAGGCATGTGTGTTCATGCCCAAAATACCAACAGGATGGAGAAACTGAGATGGGTTTGTAGTATGACTACGATTCACTGGAAGGGAGTGCTTTCTCCCTCTCCTGTCACTTTTTCTCTCTGGTTAAAAAAAAAAAAAAATGCTTAACAGATCAATTGAAGGCTAATTATTTGTGTTAATAAAGGAAAACTAATGGCTCCTTTAAACATATGTCCAATATATTTGAAATTACCTATAAAAACTTTATATATATATATATATGCACACACACACACACACACACACACACACATTAGAAAGTAATCTACCTCACTGGTTAAATAAAGTATATCTACAGACAAAAAAGTTCAGTCCCTTCAGTTCCTCTTACAAAACTACTTCTGAAGTCTTCTGGGAGGCAATTTTCTCTTGGGTAGACTTCAATGGGAAGTAAGAATCACCAAGTCTGACTGAGAAGTAACTTGGGCAGTCAGGTTTCTAACAGCACAACCACATATTAGATTCCAGACAAGAGCAATGATAGTCACTTATTAGGTAACATCTCTCTCCACCACCTAAATCCCCCTACCTACCTGAGAAACCATAAATAACACCAGAACTTGCCTTTTCCATGAACTACTTTAATTGGGGTCCCTTAAAATTGATTAGTCTCACTTTCAGGTTTGAGAGAAGAAATCGCAATAGTTAAGCACAGTGACTTAGGAACAGATTATCTAGACTGTTATCTACTAGGTGGATGTGCCTCTGGATTCATCTTCCCTGAATATAAAAAGGGGAATAAAACATTTACTCATTAGGAGTAAAAAGTTAATAAATGTAAACTTTGAACAACAGTAAATCCCTGGCACATTAGAGTTAGACCATAAAACAAAGATATGCAGTCTGCTGAAGGATATCCTCACCTGGGCACTAGGAAATTGAGCAGAAATGTACCCTGGATTTCTTACCATCTCATACTTATTAAATGATTGACTATGTCCTCCTCAACTAAGATTTTAAACAGACACTGATGAGAAAACTGGTCAATTAAATTCACTCAAAATAAAGAAGGCCACCCAGCAACTGTGGAAACAGTATGAAAGGCTCCAGGGCCAACCTGAACAAGCCTCCAAGACTGTGCCTCTTATAACCCTAGTGAACTGGGAAATTAGGGCAGGAGAATCAAGATCATCAAAAAAAAAAAAAAAAAAAAAAAAAAAGTCTTCCCAACAGTCTCCTCTAAACTTCAAGAAAATGTACAAGATATCATCCAGAATCAATTAAAAGAATGTTCATATCAACATGTACATGTACAAACCATTTTGAGGATGTTAAATAAAAAAAAAAAGAACTGGAGTATAGTCTCACTCAAATCCTGTAAGCAACAATGGCAAAACAGAGCAACGATTTGTAATTTCTGCAAAAATCTTTAAATGCTTTTCTTAGAAAACCAAATAACTTCAAAACATTCGTATGGGAACTGACAAAAATAAACTTTTGTGTTTTAAGGAATGTAGGTAAGTTAATTGAATCTGACTCCCTGGGAGAGAAGACAATTTATTTTACTATGAATTTCAAAGTTCTCGTTTACAATTAGCATTTTTTAAAAAGAATTATTTTACTTACTTATTTTAATTGGAGAGGGACAGAAAGAGCAAGCGAGCGAAAGCAAGCCACCAGGTCCGGGACTCAAACCGCGGACAGACAGCCAAGCGGTAGTCCAGCGCCCTTAACCACCACGCCACCTGCCGGCCCCTACAATTAGCATGTTACTTTTTTTTTTTTTTTTAATGGATTGCAAGTTCAAACTCAAGCGCCTTTCCACATACTGAAATGTTCTGTTTTAGGTTTCCAAACTGTTTTCAGGTAAAATTCTGAATCTATTGGTTGGTTTTTTTGGTTGGTTTGTTTTAAAGCAGAGAGCCCTCTGGTTAAACGAGTACTACAACCAGGCACTTTACATGTGAAGTATGTTTTCACTTGCTGAATTGTAATACAATATTCTAGTAGATGTCCTAAACTTAACAGCACCCCGATTTCCTTTCACACATTGGATATAAAACCTTAGAAAAGAACAGCAGTCTATTTAATTACAAATTTAGGTTTAAGCTAAGATTTACAAACGAATGTGACTTGTTGCTAAACTATTATAAAACATAAACCACACCATTAAATCTGTGTTTTTTCAGTAAGCAATAAATATCAAAGTTAGAAGCAAATATTTCAACAAATATGACAAGCCAACCTCAGAATACAAAGTTGGCAGATAAAAAGTTGACACCACAGCACAATTTCAGACCTTTAAGTAACTACCGGAAAAAAAAAAAAAAGGAAAGAAAAACCGCACCCATTCTTATGTAAACTTTTGTAGTAAGCAAACTTCGACAGCCTCACCTTTGTTTTCACCTAGCAAAAGGAATCGAGGTAAGACAGCAATTGCAAAGACCAAAAGATCAACAGATACAATAAACGTCCTCACAGGGAAACGGCTACGATTCTGAGAGACGTTAAAGTTCTTAAGTTACCGAAACGCAGGGCACTTCCCCAAGCTACAGCCATTTTAGATCCAGCCTTTCTTTTGAATTTCTCGGGGCTCCGAGCAGATTTAACGGGGGGCGGGGGGAGTACTTATTAAAACGCTTCAAGACCAACCAGATCTTTCTTCGAGGAATGGAGGTTGGTAGATACTGGGTAGACCCAACGAAAACACCTCGCTCCCACGAAGGACCGGGACGCCAGGGGTTAAAGCTTCTCCTTCCCCTCAGAGACCTCACATTAGACTTAACACGACTTTTTCCTCTTTACATTTTCCTTCAGGGAAAAAACCAAAAGCTCCTGGATCACATTTTAAGGGAAGAGGCCCGTAAGCCAAGCCATGCAACCGGCAGCGAGCCGCAACGCCGGAGCGCCGGAGCCGCAGGTGAGCGTTCCGAGCGGCGGAGCAAAGTTGGAGCAGGAGCGCTCTCGCGGAGCCGCGGCGACGCCGGCCAGGGCTCCACGCACCGGGGACGCCCGGTCCGCGCCGCACCCCCCGGGGGCTCCGCTCGGCCCTCCGGGCAGACCCGCACCCAACCACCTGTGTGAGAGCTTCCCTCAACTAGTTTTAACAGTTGGACGGTTTGGCACCGGACGGCACCCCGCGCCGGGACGACTCCGAGATCCCTTACGGCCCCGTTGTCCGGAACTCCCACTCACCAGGCAGCGGCGGGACTACGACCAGGGACGAGGCGCGGCGTCTGAGGACGCGTCCCCAGCTTCTCGACCCGGCAGAGGTGGCTAGCCCACAACCATAACAAAGCTCTTCCCAAAATGGCTGCCCGGCCCACAAGGCCCAGGAGGGGCAGAGCGGGTGGAAGAGGCGGAGCGACGCCCGGCCCGGCCCCCTCCCCCATCCGGCCCCGCCTCGCACACGCCCACCGCAGGACCGAACGCGCGTGCGCACGGGCGCTGCTCCGCGGGCCTCGCTCGGGTGACCCTGCTGGGGACGCCTGCACCCCACGGCGCCAACGTTTGGCTGCGTAAACGCCCGTTAATCCCGGCCCCGCCCCCAGCTCGCCCCTTCTGGGCACCTAGACGGTGCGTTGTCGCTCCAGACCCTCGATGTGGAGAGGTCTGCCTTTGCTCCGGCCGTGCGAAGGGCGGAGACCAGCCAAGTTTACTAGTGTCCTCAACGCCCTGCCTGGGCGCGTGTGAAAGTGGGTGGATGTGTTTATGTACCCGCTTTTCCCCGCCCCTTCTTTTTCCGCCCTCTCGCACCCCGCCTCGAGGCTAGCGCGCCTCCCCAACCTCCCTCTAACCAGTACTAGCAAACCGCTGTCGGAGGAGCGTGTTTTCCAACCCCTTCCCACCTTCCACTCCTTCACGTGTGCGCGTCGTTGAGACTCCAGCCCCCAGCGGGCTCCACGGCCGGGCTCCGAAGGCCTGCGCGGGCGGAACTGGCGCGCTACCCGATGGGAGTGGTAGTTCCCAGGGACCGCAGGCGTCCTCCCCCGCCCTGGCGCCTTTGCCCAGGCGGAGAAGCCGTTTCACCTACCCGAAGTCTCATTGGGTATGGCACAACGGGAAGGGGCGGTGCTGCCGCGACGCAGAAGGAAATAAAACCGAAAACCTAGGTCGCCTGGAAGAGGATACTACTACGAAGAATTCTCTGTACCTGTTTAATACGGGAAGTTAAGCTATAAGATGGCTGGCACTCAGGAAGCTTGACTACCTGAAATCCGGAGGAACGGGCAGGCGTGGGTCCGACATCTATTACTTGTCTTCAGCGTGAGGCTTGGAGACGGAAGGACATTCACATTGCCTGGTGCCATTTCCTATGACAGATTGTGAAATAGAGCCTAGAGAAGAGAAGGGACGTATCCAAGATCACAGACCCGGGAAATTAATGTTCATGGTGGCAGGAGGGACGATTTCACTTTCCGGATCACCCTTAAACCCAAGGCTCTTCTTGCCACATCTTTTTGGGCAGTAAAAGTCCCGCCCCTTGTGCTCTTTCTTCGTGATTTTCTAGCTTCCCTCTCCCCAAACACACAGAATAGTTGAGACCGTAATGCAGAATGAGATGTGCCCCGTCGATCCTATAAACCCAGTTATTAGCAAAGTAGAAAATGATTTGCAGAGATGTCAAGAAATTTGGCCGCGTCTACCTTCCTTCTCTATCATCACTCAGAATGTTTCTGCAGTGCTTTAGCTTTCGGAACTCTGCGGGCAGATTCTGCTGGCTAGGAATCTTGGAATAAAGAGTCAGAGACCGTTCAAGTGCTTTGTTCAACACTCAGTTTAAACTAGAATTATTATTATTTTTAATAGACCCATTTAAAAGAACGGCCAAGCGTGGGAACCAGTTAGCGCGGATCGAGACCCCTACCGGACTTACTTTGCCAGTTCTCAGGAAGGGGAGGGCTTTCTAACTTCACTCGCCGGAAGTATTTTCCCTCAAGTTCCCGGCTGTTCTGGCTGCTCGGCTTTCCGTCTCCCGGTTCGACGGTGTCAAGTAAGTAACAGAGCCACCACCGGTGCAGGTTGAGAAAGGAGATACCTAAGTTGATAGCAAATAGGGCAAGTGGGGCCAGAAGGTGATGTGATGGTTAAGGTGCTGGATTGCCACATGATTGACTGCGGTTCAAGACCCCGATTGGTGGCTTGGAAAACAAATAAATGTTAAAGTAATAATAAGGTAGCAAGGCCTGCGCGGATCCTTGTGTCTAATCTCTGCCCTCTTCTCGAGATGTCAGGTTGAGAGGTGGAGTTTGCAGTCTTTCCTTTGGGCAATGTTCACATTGTGTTTTCACCTGAATTGGACAGATTAATCCTTGGGTCTCTGCCATTAATCTTCGCACCATCTGCCATCCATGGGCTTAAAGGCTATCACTTTTTGACTTTAATACCCATGAGTTAGTTGGAAAGCACATGACACAGGGGATAAGGAATTCCCGAAGGTGGGTGAGGGTAGAGATTCAGTGAGGGGGTCCAGAACTTTTGAACTAAAGTGAAGGTGTGGGCCCTGCAGTTGGGGGCGTGTCATCTAAACTGGGAGACTGGAAATACCTTAATTTCCTACTTGCTAATTTATGTGTAGAAATCAAGACACTGGTATACAGGATTTCTCAACCCAGCCCTAAGTTCTGTGGTCAAGATAGATTAATTTTCTAAAATTAAGCAGCTACTGTAGGTTTTGTGTGTTAGATACCCAGTATCTCTTGGTTAGGAACAGGACTAGCAGACAGATCTGGATTCATAATCTCACTCAGCACCTTACTGGGTGCATGCATTAGATGGGTCTTCACCAGTCTTTCTGTGTAATGAGGGAACAATAGCTAATATGCTTTGAGTGCTTACTTTGTGTCGGGAACAGTTCTCAACTGTCTCCATGTAGTGCCTTTTTAAATTTTTATAATGACCCTATGAAGTAGTTATTTTCCTTATTTCAAACAGAATGAACTGCCCCATAGCAAGGTGAAATGACTTGTTGAAAGTCACAAAGCTGAAAATTGTTGAAGCCAGAATTCCAACCCAGATTGTCCAATCGTAATTCTAACTTAACAGGATATATTGTCTCTCCCTATCAAGTTTATGATGCTACTATGAGCATTCAATTATTTAATGCATGTGAAATTATGTAGTTATAACGCCTGGCTCACAGGTAATTTGTATTAGTTGCTACTATCATTATTTTGAGCTGTGACCTCTTAAGCCTCAAGGTAGGTAAGGTGCAAAAAGAGGAATAGAGAATCTATCGTCTTCAGGGTTTTTTTTCTTTTATTTCTTAGGTTTTTGCTGTAAGATGTGTGTGCTCACCAGAGAGAGGGAAAGTGAGAAATCACATCTCCCTCCTGAAGAGGGATGGCCATGCCACAGTCCTTTCTCCCCCATTCTCCTCCTGGGACTTTGGGCACACACATACACACACATACACCTGGCAGGATTTTCAAGCTGCTGGATCTGGGGCTCGAACCATGGTTTGCCATGTGGGATTCCAACACCTTACCCACCATGCCACCTACTGGCCCCATGGCCTTCAGATTTTTTGTGAGAGAATTTTTGTTTCCAAAGTATGTTTGTTTCTTCCATATGAGAGAGATAGGGAGATACTCCCAACAGGGTCTTCATATTGCAATCTAACCTCAGCCAGACGAAATCGTGGGTGCTCACAGGTATTTGATGTATACTGAGGGAACTCAGGACATAAACCTGGCACCTTCCCATGCGGCCTCAGCATCGCAGTGTTGCATTACCACTGTTTTACTTCAGGATTTTTTTTTTTTTTTTTTTTTTAAAGACAGGGCCTGGGACCACCAGATGGTGCATTGGTTACATCGCTGGACTCCCACATGGTCAACCATGGTTTGAGTTCTGGACCTGGTGGCTTGAAAATCATGCCAGGTGTGTGTTTGTGGGTGTCCCAGATCCTGGGAGGAAAAGTGATTGCAGAGTAGCCACCCCAGGGGGTGATTTCGCACTTTCCCTTTCACTGTCTCTAAAGTACACACTCCCTAAAGCAAACACCTCTCAAGAAAAATATTCATGTATAAAATGATGAAAGTTAAATGAAATCTTGTTTTCTACACAGCAATATGCTTCCGAATCAGCCCCTCCATTTAGCCGTAAAAATAATCTAACCAGAACTACCTGGCCTGTTCCTGGACAAGTCTTTTGATAAGGTCCAGTATGCTTCACCTCATCCGAAAGTTTTCTCGAGCATCTTCAAAGGTAGGTTGATTTGGCAAATATTTTAGCACTATTTTCCAAGCACTGCTCAGCCTGGGGCAGTAGCATGAAAAACACAAAATCTGGGCTAGTTCCATGGCCTAGAGGACAGGGCAGCTGGATCCCACAAGGCCAATCATGTGGTTCAAGTCCCAGACCAGGTGACTTGAGAAACATGCTGGATGTATGTATGTGTGCCCAAAAATCACAAAAGGAGGAAGAGATGGAAGAGAAGGGATTGTGGCGTGACCATTCCCCATGAGGGTGCTTTCTCCTCTCCCTCTCTGTGTCTCTCTCTGGCAAGCACACATACCCTCTAGACAAATTTAACAAGAAAGGAAAAAAATTTATGCATGTATATTTAGATGACATGGGGAGGAATTGTGTTAAAATACCAGTAAAATATTTAATATGTAAATTGGTAAGTGCTACAGAGAACTGCAAAGCAAGGAAAGGGAATAGGGAGAGTCAACAACAGATGCAGGATTGCACTTCCAAAGAGGGTGGTCAAAAATGAGGGAATGAGGGAACCAGCAGTTAGCGTAATGGCTATGTCGCTGGACTCCCACGTAGTCAACCGCGGTTCGTGTCCCGGACCCGGTGGCTTAAAACTCACGCCGGGCGCGTGTGCGTGCGTGCCCAAGATCCCGAGAGGAGAATGGAGGAGAAGGGATTGTGGCGTGACCATCCCCCCGGGGGGTGATTTCTCGCTTTCTGTCTCTATGTCTCTCTCTGTCTGTCTGGCGAGCGCACGCGCCCTACAGTGAAAATCTCTCAAAAAAAAAAAAAAAAAAAAATAAGGG